ATGCACTATATTGTATATATGTGAAGTATAATATTTATATATGTAACGTGTATATAAATGCACTATATATTGTATATATGTGAAGTATAATATTTATATATGTAACGTGTATATAAATGCATTATATTGTATATATGTGAACTATAATATTTATATATGTAACATGTATATAAATACTGTGATGCATTTTCATTGTTTTCTGAAAATACAATTAGAGGTTTAACATAATGGAAAAGTTATTATGGTCTATCTAAAGCACGATATATTCTTCTAACATAGTTTCCAAATAGCACTTAATAAATTTCAAATACTCACGTAGAACACAAATTTCATTTCCCTAATTTCTATTATTCTGAGGTTTAGCTTAATATAGAACAGAACAAAATAATCCTATTATGGGGGATTTAAATCCATGCATATACCAAATACACTAATAAATTTGTATACGTATATTCTCTAGTACAAATATATATATAACGTAATATGAAGTTTTGTTAATTTAAATCAATAATTAAGAAAATCGTAATGCACTAATCATACAAATGAACAAGGAATTTTCCTTAAAAAAAAGAAAAAAATATCAGACGATTGTTTATTTCGTGTATTACGAGTATAGGTGGTATATAAATTACGAAGATAATTTATTTGAATTTATTTAAAACGAGATTAAATATATATATATATAGCAAATGTGATGAACGAAAGATAAAAAAAAGAGATAAAAATATACTAGGATATATTCGATGCAATGACTTACCGAAAATCAAGGATGGTCATCCTGAATCGCATAGCAAGTCGTCCAGTGGTTTCTCCCGCGACTTCGATGGAGGTCCACGATGATGACGTGACATTTCTCAATTTTCGTGAACGATCCATGAAGAAGTCACTTTTCCTTGGCTCAGGCCATTCTAATCGATTTAATAAAATAACAATTTGTCGTCCAATTGTAATTAATATATCCGATGATTAGAAAAGAACGTAAGAAAAAAAAAAAAGAAAACAAAAAACATTTTATCCAATTTTCTTCGACAAATTCAAAAATAATCCACAAATTATTCTACTTTCTCTGTAACAACGAAATATGATGCGAGTTCATTTAACAAAAAAAATTGTGAAAAATAATTTAGATAAGAGAAAATGATACGAGCTGGTTAAGTAATGTATAAAAAAAAAAAAAGAAGAAGAAGAAGGACAAAGGGAATCGCGATACGCCTGTCGCATTTTTGCTAACAATTAATATTTGCATGAAAATAAAAAAAAAACCTTGTGTCATAACTAACAATAAAATCCCTTGCATAAGTGTCCCTAATCGTGTTCGATGTAACAAAAAAGAAAACAGATGGGGAAGAAGGACAACGCGTGTGACAAGGCATGCTTAACATTCTCCTGTATAAACAGCTGTTAAGAATGAGATCACAAATAAAGAAGGAACAGCAGTTTCTCTATTTCTATAATTTTATGAACTAATAAGAAATTCTTTAGGAAGATTAGTCACACGGGAAAATGAGATCATGATCTTTTACGATTAAATATTTCTAAACGCGCTTTGAACAATATTATAATATATATATATATATATACAAAAATTATACCAATTATAAATTAAATATAATTAAAAAATAATATAAAACTTTTTTATGTACAAGATCTTATGTGCAAAAAGAAACAAAAAAAATAACTGGAGAAACGAATAAACATTAAAAAAAAAAAATAAATAATAAAATCTATAATCTACCCCATCATTATAATATATACTAATTATTTAATTTATATTCCTACTTTTGTATAATTGTTCTATTCTTATATTAAAATATCATTACCAAAGATAACAATTTGAAAACAAATTAATATTTTCGTTCACGCGAATAAACAAACAAACAAACTAACAAACAAAAAATCACGAAAAATTTTCTAATCACTCGCGAAAAAGATAGGAAACAATCGTAAAGTAACGTCCAACTGAAATATTTTAATTCAACTGACGTAAACTATGATTACCTTAAGAAAATCGCTCTTCTGCGATCTCTCCCTCTCTCTCCCTCACTCTCCCCCTTTTATCCTCTTTCTCTCTTTCTCTTCTTCTTTTCCTCTTCGTTTCACGATCGTTCGAAAGGAAAGAGAATGCGGAAGACGGTTGAGAACGGTGGTCCGTAACGATTTTCCCGCGCACGGGCACGTTTCAAAAGGGCCAGTGCAACAGCATCATCAACATCAACATCAGCAACAGTAACGTCAACGTATGTGTTCGTCGTTTAATCCCATTCAAAGAACCTCATCTTCATCCTCATCCAAATAAGAAGAAGAAGAAGAAGAAGAGAAGGAGGAGGAGGAGGAGGAAGAAGAAAAACAAGAAGAAAAAGAAGAAGTGGTGTTGGCGTCAGAGATTAGAATAACAGGTGGATTTAAAAGTACACATAAAAACACGTGACACACATATATTTCCTTCAGTTAAAAATGATGAAACCAATAATAGGAAAATTATTTAAAAAAAAGAAAAAAAAAGAAATAAAATAAATTAATATAAAAATATATAACTCAAACGAAAAATTATTATTCACCAACAACTTGGGGGAGGGGAGGGGAGGGGGGAATACTTGTTGCAATTAAAAGACAAAGATAATTACGATAATATTACGATGATAATTAATTAATGAGATATCGTTACGCAAAATTTAATCGTGGATGAGAGAAAAAAAAAGAAACAAACAAACGGAATTGATTGATGAATTTCTTTTCGATCAATTTTGTTTTTCTTTTAATTCCCCTTTCGTTTCGATTTTTTTTCCTTTCCTTTTTTCGTTCGACGTTTTGGTATTATCTCGTTCGCGCGCGTTCGAACTGAACTTTGCGATCGGAAAGTGCGGTTTTGTTTTGGTGCGCGCACGTATGTACGCCGCCGCGACAGGAATGATAGTGAGTAAAGTGGGAGAGCCTGCGGGAAATATATAGGCCGCAGGGTAACATTCGATACGTGGTGGGGGGGGTGTATACAAGGTGGGAGCAAAAGGCAGACCTTAGTAAAAAGAGGGGGTGGGAGAAACACAAGGGAGAAGAATTCCCGTTGGTCTCATCCCTTGCGTGCGTGTGCGCACAACTTACTACTAGTCCGAAAAAAATTCTTTTTAAATTCACCCTTCTACACACACACACACACACACATGTGATTATTTATTTATTTATTTATTTATTTAATTATTCCTTTAAATCTCTCTTTTTTTCTTCCCTCCACTACGATGATTATATCTAATAATAAGTATAATAATAATAATAATAATATATGTGTGTACCTTGTGTAAAAGAATTAAAAAGAAAATAAAAAAATAAAAAAAGGGGGGGTGGTGAAATATTGAACGATACGATTTGCGTTAACGTGTTTCGATGTATGATTTTGATTTGTCGATTAATATTTCTTTGTTTTTAAAAAAATTTCTCATTTAAATTATTACAATGAATAAACGCGAGATATTCAATGTATAAATATCTCATTTATGTAAACATATTTATATATCAGGAAAGTAAAAAGGAAATAAAAAAATGGATAAAAATCGTATGCAATATGTAACGCAATACACACAATCGCGATATAAATTTAATCTCTTTTAATTAGTAATACATATAACAACATATTGATTAAGATTATATCTGACATAAATAGAAATCAAGAATCCTATAATTATATACTTGTTATATAAATGATAAAGAGAAATAATAATAAAAAAAAAGAAAAAAAAAAAAACAAAAAAGTAAACACAAACATTATGCAGTCCTTATCGATGTGCGATTGAACGCGAGTTGAGTTTACGAATGTATATAAAAAAAAAAAGAAAAAAAAAAGAAATAAATAAAAAAGAAAAAGAAAAGTCAACATCGTGAAATTTAATCAGCGAAATTATCATTTTCTAATACTCGAGTTACGATTATCGATTATACGAGACCGATGATTAATTGGGAGTGGTAAAAAGGAAAAAAAGAAAACAAATAACAATAATGTGTATCAGAATTTGACGCAATTAGATACGACGACCGATTGTAAAGTTCGACGAATAAATTAATCGATTAATCTTTTTTTTTTTCTTTTTTTTTTCTTTTTTTTTTCTTTCTTTCGTTGAACGACATTAATCAGACGTTACTTAATTTTAAATAATGTTTTATCGTATACGCGATTAAAGATAAATATAATAAGAAGAATAATAATTAGAATGGGAAAACGATTAGGCTTTCTAAGAATACTCTGATATTTCATTTTTCGATCCTGTTATTATAATCTCGAATATTATTGTTGTTAAATCGTCTAATAATTATCTCAATAATTGGTGCAATAAACAAATGATATACACATATATATATATATATCTTATGTATTTTATATAATATATATAATATTTA